CACACACACACACACACACACACACACACGAAGGGTCATGTCATTGGGTGTCCATGGCTGAGTGGGTGCGTAGAGTCGGTTTTATGACTGTGTCAGATTAGTTTTTCTCAGACTTACTACCTCTTCTTCTCAACGGTTTGGACCAGGTTCAGACCTGCTAGGATTGCAAGGTTCAAGTTGGTGTGAGTAAAGTGGGGACCACTTTTCTCTCTCAAGGGTATCGCTAACTCTGGGCGATGTGGTGAGTCCTTATCCATCAGTCAAATGCATCCTGGGCAGACTGACGGGGTTCAACCTCCAGATGAGTCGGTGAAAGTTCGACGAAACAGTCTGTTCGGTACAGTCATCCTTTTCTTGTGGAGTTGTGTATAGCGAACGTGACAAAACACACACACACACACACACGCGCGCGCGCGCGCAGTACGCACACACAGTAGGGGGAATAGGCAGCGAGAGGGAGACGGGAATCAGGTAGTGCAGGGGCAGTGGTGGTCAGGGGTTTTGCTTGTGACCCCTTGGGCCGAAGACGTGAGAAATCTCGCCTTCTTCCTCTAAAATTCCAACTTCTTCTACAGGGGAACTACAGCTACTCGTAGTCCACCACCCACTATCTCTTCTGAACGACTGCGCTAGCGTCCTACTGCCCGATTATGAACACCTTGAACTTACAGTATTAATGTCTGTTTCTCTCTCCACAGCAAGGTGGCCCGTGGAGAGAGACAGAGGTCAAGGCGGTGAATGCCTGAGGATGACAAGAAGGCGAGAAAAGGGTGGAAGTGGACCACAAGCAGGACCAGGTTCAGCAGTAGGATGTCGACAGAGGCGATGAGGATGATGGTGACGATGATGATTCGACGGATGCCCTTCTCCGGCTTCGTCTACTACTAGATATAGACTCGAACTCCGAAGATTAGTTGATTGATTGATTGATTGATTGATCGATCGACGGATTGATTGATTGATTGATTAATTGATTGATTGATTGATTGGTTGATTGGTTGATAGATTGATTGATTGACCATTTTGATTGATCGGTCGATTGGTCGATCGATCGGTCGATCGATTGATTAACTGATCGACCGATTGATTGATTGATTGATCGATTGATTGATTGATTGATTGATTGGTTGATTGATTAATTGATTGATCGATCGACTGACTGACTGACTGATCCATTGATGGCTAAGTAATGGTGTTCGTGTTTGTGTGTGCGTGTGTATGTGAGAGATTGATGATCGATTGATTGATTGATTGATTGATTGATTGATTGATTGATTGGTTGATTGACTGATCATTTACTGATTTGGTTGATTGGTTGGTTCACTGATTGATTGATTGATTGCCGGACTGACTGATTGATTGATGATTGATTTACGGTATTCGTGTTTGTGTGCGTGTGAGAGAGAGAGAGAACGGTTGGGGAGAGGGGGAAGGGGGCACGCAGACAGAGGTAGATGAGTGACAATATATTGCAAAGGTCGATAGACACGCACACCACCACTCCGGGAGGATGATCGGGGTATTACAGTTCCGCAGGTTGGGAGAGTCACGAGGTTGTTGAAGTTCTATGACTAATAGGCTCATTACTATTGTCACTTGCTATCTTCTCTGCTTAGGTTAGTGGGCTGTCAAATAGAGCCTGCACACACACACACACACACACACACACACACACACACACACACACACACACAAGGTTGGTGTGAGTAAAGTCGACCACTTTTCTCAGGGGCGTCGCTAACTCTGGGCGATATGGTGAGTCTTTATCCATCAGTCAAATGAATCCTGGGCAGACTGTCGGGGTTCAACCTCCTGATGAGTCGGTGAAAGTCCGACGATACAGCCTGTTCAGCACAGTCATGCTTTTATTGAGTGTATAGCGAATATTACAACACGCACACACACACACACACACACACACGCACCCATTACTATTGTCACTCGCTATCTTCTCTGCTTTGGTTAGTGGCCTGCCAATTAGAGCCTGCACACACACACACACACACACACACACACACACGCACACGCGCACACGCACACACACACGCGCGCGCGCGCGCACACGCGCAGACGCACGCACGCACACACACACACACACACACACACACACACACACACACACACACACACACACACACACACACACACTCTTTTACGGCCATTCTTGTCAGGGGATTGGACAGACAGTCTGCTAGGATTGCAGGGTTGGTGTGAGTAAAGCCGACCACTTTACTCAGGGGTATCTCTAACTCCGGGCGACGTGGTGAGTCCTTATCCATCAGTCAAATGCATCCTGTGCAGACTGTCCGTCCAGGTTCGACCTCCTGATGAGACGGTGAAAGCCCGACGAAGCAGTCTGGCACAGCCATGCTTTTTTGTGGAGTTCCATATAGCGAACACGACAACACACACCCTTTGTGAGTCTGTGAAAATCCGACGAAACAGTCTGTAGTTGCGTATAGCGAACATGACAACACACACACACACACACACACACACACACACACACACACACACACACACACACACACGCCACACACACACACACACACACACACACACACACACACACACACACACACACACGCACACACACACACAGAGTACGACAACACGCAACGCGACCTTCTCCGCTCAGGCGGATCGATGCGGCTAGCGTCGGGAGCGTACTAGCGGTCATGCCATTGGGCATCCACGGCTAAGTGGGTGTGTAGAGTGGGTTTTATGGCTGTGTCAGACCAGTTTTTCCAGACCCTCTTCCATTATCGTCAGCGGTTTGGACCGACAGTCTGCTTTAGGATTGCAGGGTTGGTGTGAGTAAAGTGGGGACCACTTTTCTCTCTCAAGGGTATCGCTAACTCTGGGCAACGTGGTGAGTCCTTATCCATCAGTCCCGAGGCACGTCCCCTTCGCGCTCGAATAGCAAACCTCCTAACTCACCTCCTCCAACGCTTCTGTCGCTACCGTAGGGGGCATGGATCTTATCTCCCTGCGTACGTTCCCTCCCCCCAGCTCGCGTCGGTCTCGTCTCCTTCAGTACGTCTTTCCTTCTTGCTTTCCTACGCTCTCCGTTGTCATCGCCATGGCTCGACTCTCTCGCGCTACGTCCGTTGCTACCGGTTACGTTTGTCCAATGAAGGCTGGAATGCGCGTCGATCAGTGCTCGCACGTGCATGGGCGACCACAGCGCGACGGCAATCTGTGAGCGTGAAAATAAATGGGCGACGAGGGTGCGACTTCATTCGATGCGCGGACGTGCATGAACGACCGCAGCGTGACGTCAACAGTGCGCGCACGTGAACGGCTGACCACAGCGCCACGTCAATCAGTGCGCGCACGTGGATGGGCCACCATAATGCCACGTCAATCTGTGCGCACACTCTCCTGCTGCCTGCGTTGCGTCGTCCGGGGGGATTCCGACGCACGCGCGCGCACGCTCCTCGTAATACTATACTGTTCCGCGGGGCCGTTTCTCAGGCCCAGCGTGGCCCAACTACAGTCCCGCGCACGGAGGGGCCGCGAAGGGAAAGTAACCCAAACCCTCTCGTTGGGGTCGTGACTACCGGTAGCCGGGCTAATTTTATCGTTTTCCAAACATAAAGGGGCTATTTCTGTTCTTCACGCGGGAAATGTACACCAGGTTTGCAAATAGGAATTAGTAGATGCCCTACTGCCTGACCTGGACGAGGTGCATGTGACAGGCTGGATGCCCCTGAAAGATATGGTATTTCACCAAGATATGGTATTTCACCAAAGAGAGGAGGAGCGAGGGGTGCACGGTGGTTGGTGCGTTTAGCGGTCTAAGTTGGCCTTTCAGTCACTGCAGCCGGGCACTGGCGAGTCCGTTGCAAGCGAACCGGTTTCGTGAGAAGACCACTGCCATGATGGTTTCTCACGAGGAACATGTCATTATGCTCAGTATTTTTCGAGCAATTTCCTGTTAGTGAAGACGAGTGACACATGGAGGCGGACCTGTAGAGGTCGAGTTTCTTTGCTTGTCTTGTGAAGTCACGTACAGTTTCATGCAACATGAGCGTCAGATGAGGAGTTCGAAGAGGTGTATGTGACGCACAACCTCACACCCTGTGCTGTCTTCCGTTCGGAGTGTTAGTGGTGCGGAAAAGAGGCCCAGAAAAACAGCAAGATGGGGTGTGCCAAGGATTTTGGGAAATTGAGTGTGGGGACACAGACGGAACTGAAATCCCCTGTGTTGGTCCGATGGAGCAAGTCGATCGTTTTCGCGCGTCGCGGAATGCTCGCGCGGGCAAGGCGGGAAGAAAGGGAAAGATCCAAATTTAATCCAAAAAGTATTGCCGTACCTCCCACCTGGCTACAACCCGTCGTTTAGAACAGAAAGGCATGGGCACGCTTCGCATGTCCCGTTTTCGTATCAAGTCTCGTCGTCGTTCGCTGGTTAGCTCCGAGTCTCACGTGGAGGGTCTCAGTCGCGTGGCTCTTTCTTTATGCTCGTCTTCACTCCGCACACGGTAGTGGAAACCCCTGGACTCGTAGCGCTCAAATCGCTGACATTCGGTGCACAAAGTGCGCGGCCAGTGAGGTTCTACTGCCGTCCACGGAATGACGATCAACTCGTTGAATGGCAACAATACCGAGTAAGGTGGGAAGTGCGTATCGATAATAACAAACCCGGCTTCTACGAACCCAGAACAGCGGTTGGCCGGAGGGAAGTAATACTGCCCGCCGATTTGTGCAACGGCTTCTCGTACGTCCCACTCACATACACGTGTCCTTTCCTCACTGTAAGAAAAAGGTAGCGTTGGGATGAGAGATACGGGAGGCTGGCGCCCAATCGAAGGCTACTTGTCAGTCCACATGTCAATTAATCACAAAATATACTGAGACGTCATTAAGAACAAAAAGCGATTCGCGCGTCCCCCAATCAATATTTTTGACACAAGAGAGAGATCAAACACAGATCAGCTTGATCACGCATATGGCTACGGGTCCGATCAGTTCAACACAACGTTGGTCCCTGGGCGCCTTGCTTCTCAGGGCCGCCTCGTGGCTCGGCTGCTGATGTCGTGCAGCATAAGGCAGATGGCATGCGCAGTGCAAACAGAGCTACAGATCTAAACACTCKTGCATTCTCGGACAAAATCCCGACGACAATCGTCTAATAAAAAAAAAAGAATCACACGTCTCCATGCATGCATCCACTGTGGAAGGTGCGAAAATGAGATATGCACAAGAAAGGATAGATCGCATTGCACAGTACACACGCATCCACCGTTCACAAGACAAGAAGACAGGGTCCTTGCATAGGAGGATTACCCAGGAAACTAATGGAAGAGTTCCGGAAGAAGTTCTTTCATACAGAAACAGGATGCAAACTCATTCTTATCCGGGAGAGGAACAATCATTCAGACGCATCATCATTCAAAAAGAGGAAGAGAAAGAAATAAAAAGAGGGAGAGAGAGAGTGAGAGTCGAGGGAAAGAAAATCACAATAGAAGATGACAAGGTCTAGAAAGAGAAAAGTTCGGCGTTGCCGCCGTACACTCACGCCAAAGATAACAATCCGCAACAAAGGCGCATTCGCCGTTAATTCCAATATGGCCCCGGACCAATCAACTCAACTCCGATCATCGATCCTCATACCCGCACCGACGATCCCGGTCGTCGCGTGCTAACTCCCACCACTGCGATCTTCACCCCGGTGTCGTAAACTCGACACGGTTCACCCAGATCCCACAGTCCGTCGTGGTGATCCAGCGCGCAACCGACCAGCCTATTGTCAGCCCGATAGGACTTTCCGACTCACTTCAAAACACTCTGCCTAGCCACTGCTTACCGGAAGCTGGCTCGAGAGTCAAGAATGTAAGGGAGGTTTGCGGACGCGCTTGCGGGTTTTATAGTTGCGACAGGGGAGATAAAAGGGGGAGAAGGCAACAGGAAAGCTGAGGTGTAAGAGGAGAAGCAGGAGGAGACGACTTTGAGAAGAGTGCTCTACGAACGCCATGCTGATCCCTCAGAACTCAAGGTTCTACCAATCAGATTCGTCACGCGATAGGAAGGTCCTATCAATCCACGCACCTGATTGGCGAGCGGGAGTTATCGGGGGATCGACCGGGCGTCGTACGCGAGACTTAGAGGGTGAGAAGAGAAAAGGCGCAAGAGGTGGCGCAAGACGGGTCCAAGATTCAGATGATCAAGAAAGGGAAATGGGAGCGCGAAAGCAAGGCGGGAGAGAGAGAGAGGGAGAAGGAAAAACAGTTACAGGGAGAGAAAAAAAGGAGGGAGAAGGGAAGGGAGGCGTGGGAGGGAGCGATGCGGGGGACAGAGAGTAGGAAGCTTTTGCATGCACGGCGCCATAAAAAAAAAAAAAAGGAAAAGGCACCGAAACAGTTACAGCTTGCTTCTATCCTAATTCAAAATTGAAATCACCATATCCTCGCGCGAAAAAAGCGACGTGGAAAAAAAAAATCCTACGCCTATTCGTATTCACACAAAATTTCGAGAGTTTTCCCCGACGCGCCCAAGAACATTCACACACCCAAAAAGGACACGTCGAAGTTCCGCTTATCCCGGAATTCCCAACTGTCGAGCCCAATTCCCCTTGCGCTCGCTAAGGCGCACGTAAATTCCCATGTATTTCCCGACTTGCAAAAAAAGGGAAATACAAAACCCGAAAATCGAAAAAGCTCTCACAAAAAAAAGGAAAATGCAGCACCCGAAAGAAATCGAAACGGGGTTTTTCTGGGGTTGGTATGATACAAGCAAAAGAAAGGGTACGAAAGAGGGCACGGGGTTGGGAAGTGGTTCGTCACATATGTGATGCGCAGGGGGTTCCAAAATTATGCGATCTCCTGATTGCATGTCATGGCGAAAAAGAAGAGGGGAGAACAGAGTGATGCATGAGGAACCAAGCGTATTCAACAGAGCAGAAAGAAGTACAAGGAACGATAACTGGGCCGCGGATAAGATGGCGACAACATCCGTGGCAAGATCTCTGTAGCCCTGTCATATGCAACCCTCTGCCTCGTGGAGATCGTCCAGGTGACGCCATCATGGTCCACCTGATCTCCGTGTGCTCTGCACCCTTGCTCGTTGCCGTCTGTCGAATCAGCGCGTAGGTTGACATCACCGTTGATGGTGTGATCTTCGCGAAGCTTACCGATTCGTGCCAATGAAGGGAGGAGAAAAAAAAAAGGGGGGGGGGGTGGTCAAGTGAATGGGATCTACCGCCTAGTTGGAATAGGCCAGTAGAGGCGATACATGTCGGGGATCTCGCGGGGATGACGGAGGGGGAGTGGGGGTAGGAAGCGATTCATCCCTTCCATCGTCACCGGGAGCTCCTCATATCGGATGATTCGGTGGAAGCGGGGGAAATGATTGCCACTGCGGGGGAGGGAGGCGAGGTAGTCGCGATAGAAGGAGGAGAGGGTATGGAAAAACGCCGCTCAAAAGATCTTGAAGTGGCGGCAAGCGGGGATTGTCCCCGTGGCGATGCTGTAAACTTCTACCACATTGCATTGCTCCCATGCAGCGCTGAACAGCATGAGATGCTAGCAGAACGTGGGAGCAGCGGACTGAAGGGAGGCGTGGGGGTGGACGGTGGCGAGTAGACGGGTAGAGTAGAAGTCGCGGAAGAGATGGGGATGGAAAGGATAGGAAGGGAAGGTGACGGGGGTACGGATCTGCTCGAGGGTGAGGAAATCAAGGGGTCGGCGGGGCAGCGTCCGAGGTCGAAGGCCTATCGCCCGCATTGGTACGTGGGCGAACTGGGGGACGGGTGGGGCTGGAGGAGGAGGGGGATCGGCGTCGTCTCCGTCGCGCGGTACTTGAGGTGGCGGCTGCAGGGTCGGCATCTTCGGGCCTCGGCGGCTCTAGATCCCTGGTCGGATGACTACCGATGCGCAGGCTAGCCTCGCTAGCGAACTCCAGCTGGCGCTTTCCGGAGGCAATCTCTTCGCGCTTTCGTGCAGCTTCCGGATCTTCTGCCTCCGTTCCCGTACGCGTTGCTTCCTCCGCCGGGGCTTCCCACTCGGACCCGGTTCCTTCTTCTTCCTCTTCCTCCTCACTCAGCTCACCCTCGCTATGTGCACTATAGCTTCCCTCCTCCGATGTCTCCTCGTTGTCGTCTTCTTCTTCGTCGTCGTCGTCAATCACCACTTCTTCTGCCCTCGGGTAGAAGGCATAAGGGATGATCTCGTACGGCTTCAGATACTCCTGCCGCAATGGTAGCGTATCCTCGTCCCTAGGTTCCTCCAAGCACGAAGTCCACTGAAGGTACGGATCCAAGGATCGCTCGAAAATGCACGGAGCAGGACTGTTGTCGCTCTGAAAGTAGATGTCGGGCGAGAGATCGTCCGCCAATTGCACGATTGGTGCGATGAGCTCCTGTGCAATTAACTTACGACGACCCGGTCGTACCGATCCAAAGAGGAATCCAATAAGATCTCCTTCCGCGTTAGTCCTCCAACCCTGTATGATCAGCAGCTCCGGATTCTCGATCCACGTGGGGTGCTCAATAATGCCCGTCCACTTCACTTGTACTCGGGTCAGGCAGAAGGACAACTCCTCAAAAGTCTCACGCCACAGCTGCCAATGTCCAGGATGGATAAGAGGGACTGAAAGAGGCTCGAACGAGAAGGAAAGAGAAGGGTGAAGATCGGATTGCCAGAAAGTGGGGAAGAGAGAGGGGAGACCAAAGATAGAGAGGGGAGCGAGAAGAGCAGTTCATTGGGGACGGGGGAAGGGGACGAGGGTTGGGATCGCAACTGGCCGCTCGCGCGGTGATCGGCGAATGCCGTCAATGTCCGATGCAAAGATCGGGATGATGTTATACCCCTCCCGGGCGAGGACGTGCTGCCACACGTTGGACACTTGCTCCGTCCACTCGCGCAGCAAGGCCAAGATTGCAGTATGCCGCAGAGGATTGACCGAGCTGATGTCGCCGGTGAATGCCGCCACTGTGGTGACGTGGTTCGTTCTGGGACCCGCTCGCCGATGAACTGCAGTAACCTCCGCGAACACTATCGCATGAGGGCTTTCTTCTATCCGAAACGCGGCGGCGGCACAGATACCTTCGTCGCAGAAGAATCGCATCAAACGGCGGAGATCCGTATTGAGCCGAGGGTGAGAAACTTGCCGGATCTCTGAGATGTGGCCACGTGGCTGCCGCAGCTGTGCGTCGAGAACCCGCTCCGTGATGAAACTCATGGCGAGGTCTGAGAGGAGGACGAGGGACAAGAGGGAGATAGAGGAGAGAGGGTTAGATCGTCGTCGTTTTCCTCGCTTTCCGAGAAAGAAGAGGGAGGAAAATCGGAAGGAGGAAGGAGACGGAGGTAGGAGGTATGTCTGACGATGGGGACGGAGCTATGGCTGGCGCTAGCCTCAGGCGCGATGCGCACCGTGTTAGCGCCGTTGGGTCCGAGTTCGACAACGCGAAAACAGCCAGAGAACTTGGGAGCGAGTTTCCAGTCACGTGCACATTTACGTACCTGCACTAGGTCCCCCAATTTATACTGGTACTGGGGCCCAGCATTTCCGTTCCGGGCCTCGTAGCTACGGACCTGTCTACCGTGGGCCAGCTCGGTCATCCTTTGCCTTTTTTGGGCTAGCTTCGGGACGGCCCGTTCCATCAAATCGGTGTACCTGTTGGCCTTGGCCTTGAGGGCTGCACGCGTGTCTCTACCCCCTGCTTCGACAATTTCCAAGTTACCCCGGTAATCGACACAGGGGAGCCTATTAGTTCGAAGCTGAAAGGGGGTGAACCCTGTAGACTCGTGAGGGGTGGCCTGGTGGATGTCGACGATCTGATATACGATCTCGGGCCACGGACGCGTGTCGTGTGCCGCTAAGTTCCTGCGAAGCGCGGTTTTAATCATACGGCTGGCATTCTCGGCCAACCCATTCGACTGGGACACGTGGGGTGCCGTATGTCGGAGCGTGACGCCCCTTCGCGCAAGCAGTTCCTCTACCTCACCTTTGAATTCCGACCCATTGTCAGTTAGAATTTCTTCCGTATCTAGATGGGTATAGAGGAATCGTTCGGTGTATGTGGCTATTTCAACTGCCTTTCGGGTCTTACAAGGATAGACTTCGATGTATTTGAAAAAATGGTCAATTAAAACCAACAGGATGGAATATTCACAGCGGTTTGGGCCAGGTGGCACGTCAATATCTGTCGTATCCATACTGACTCGCTGGAAAGGACGCTCTACTTCCATGGGTACGATAGTGTTTGGTCCCCGTATAGGGGCGCGATCAGCGGCACAGACCAGACAGTTAGCGACAATGTACTTGACGTCATCTCGTATATTGGACCAGAACCATCGGTTCTGGTATACAGTTGCCTCCGTGACACGTATCGCGAAATGAGCGGCCTGTTCTTCGTGAGCGGATCGGATCCAATCGTATCTCTGGAATGGATGGGGAACTTACTCGGTTGCCCTACGTCTGTCGATCCATCAATTTTACGCTTTTCCGAATGACCGTTGATCCATCGATAGTCCCGAGATCTCTCGGTTGCCCTACGTCTGTCGTGTTTGGTGAGGTGGCCCAACGATAATCCCGCTAATTTCGCTAATAAAATTTTATCCGTCCAAACCTCCGCTCGTCGGTAATTTTCATCGTATTCAGGGCCGTCTGTACGGGCGGCCTCGAATCGAACCTCCGTGGGGAGCTTGTTCGTTCTACACAGGGGGCACCTCCATTCCTTGCTACTCGCCCGATATCGAACGCAGGCCCCGTGCGCACGGTTGACACACGTGGCACATTCTACCCAATCGACAAATCCGGTCTCGAAGGGATGACAGTCGACCCCATAAACTCGTGCAATACACATGCAAAAATAGCAGAATTTATCAGGGAGGGTGGCGAAGAAAGCCGAGGAAGTGAGAGGGGCAGAGTCAGTAGGAGAAGAAGGGGTTGCAGAGGCGAGTGGGGTAGTCATGATGGCAGAGGAGGAGGGGATGCAGGGAGAGTAGAACAGAACAATTAGTTCTCGTGTAACTTACTGCTTCGATAAGATATCCACTTGGCCATACCGAGGTCCGATCTCCCGTTCGGGTTCGTTCCACGGAATTATCTCTCCACCCTTTGAAACCTTCTCAGGCTGGTGCAGTCGTGTCAGTCTGTCCGCATTCCCGTGTCTCTCGTGCTTTCGATGACGAATGTCAAAGTCCATGCTCTGCAGCACCGTTGCCCATCGCCCGATCATGCCCGAGTAATCCTTCGACTTCTTCAGAGCCAACAGGGGCTCATGATCAGTCACCAGGGTGAATTTTCGTCCGTACAGGTAAGCACGAAAGTGACTGATTCCCCAGAGAGCCGCATAGCATTCACCCGTTGGAGCGGCGTAATTGCGCTTGCAGGCGGGCACTGATTTGGACGCATATTCCACTACATTCTCGAGTCCGCTCGGTCCCACCTGGGCAAGGATCGCTGAAATCGCCTCTGGCTGCCAGTCGATGATGAGAACAAAAGGTTTTTTGGGATCCAGTCTTATAAGGACCGGAGACGAAATGAGAGCAGCTTTGAGTTTGGAAAACGCTTGATCGCACTCCGGCGTCCAGATCAACAGCTGATCCTTGCGCAAGAGATTTGTGAGGAGTTCCTTAATCACCGCGAAGCCCTTGATAAATCTTTGGTAATACGAGGCTAGGCCCAGAAAGGCGCGAACTTGCGTGATAGTGGTAGGCACTGGCGCGTCCCTGACAGCTGCCACCTTCTGCGGCTTCGGTTGAAGTCCCTTGTCTGTCACCACGTGGTCCAGGAAAGAAATGGTGGTGAGGAAAAACTGACACTTCTCAAGCGCCACCTTGAAACCTGCATCCCGTAACACATGCAGTGCCCATTCGATGTGCTGCACGTGTCCCTCGTAGGGACTCGAATACACTAGGATGTCATCCATGTACACAATCACGCAGTAGTTGATGATGCTCTATGCCAAACGAGTCTTCCGTACGAAATTATGAAAAGCCTTGTTCATGGCCCGCTGAAAAGTTGCAGGGGCATTGCAGATACCCATCGGACATAGAATCCATTGCCACGTGCCTTCGAAAAGCACAAACGCTGTTTTCGGTCGATCTTCCTCTTGGACAAGAAGGTGAAAGAACCCATGACGAACATCGAACTTGCTGAAAAATCGAGCACTCCCAATCGCATTCAGCAACTCATCTATCCGGGGGAGGGGATACACATATTTGATCATGATATCATTCAACTTTCGATAATCAATGCAAATGCGAATCCCTCCAGCCTTTTTAGGTACGATCACTACAGGGAAAGACCATGGACCTATAGCGGGTTCAATCCATCCATTAGCTTCGAACTCCTTAATCCGCTGAAAAGCGGCAACTCTTTGAGCTGGCGAGTATCGGTAGGGAGCGCAGCTAATGGGTGGATGATCTCCCGTGAGAATGGCATGCTCGATCACATTAGTTAACCCGATGTCGTTATCGTGAATGCTCAATACTTCTTCGTAGCCATTTAACACTCGAATTAACGATTTCCGAAGTTCCGCTGGAACGTGACCTGGCAAGGTGATTGTTGATTTCGCGAAAATCTTGAGGGGCATATCGATTCAATCAACCGGCCATTCCCGTCGATTATGGACACTAGAAAAAATGGAACTACTGGTGCGAACAAAGAAGACAGTTGCATCATTTGGGACTCATCAGGGCTGATCATCTCTGTTTCCTTAGTTTCAGCGTCAGTTTCTGAACCAACCGAGGTCGGTTCCACAGTTAACCCTGTTAGATCCGTCATTTCTTGCATCAGATTAGGTACATCATTTACCGGTGCTTCCGCTTCTTGTTTAATCAAGGCGATGGTGGCGCCTGTCGTTAGTAACGATCGGGGTGGAAAAACAGAAACGTCTACATACTTTTCTGTTTGCTGATAACGCGTTCGTAAGGAGAGAACTCCCTCGTACAAGGTGCGAGGGGGTTCCAAATCATCAGCCAGATCGGAAACTTGTAATATGGGTTCTCCGAGGAGAACCGAAGGACTGACCTTGGTTATTAGAGGCGTGAATGCACTGTCTTCGGAATCCACGTGGAAGCTTCGGGCGGTGTCGGGGCACACCTAAAATTCTTCGGGGGTTTCTTGTTCGAAAAGTTCAACCAGATGCTTCCATTCTTCTTCGCTAGGCATCTCTTCTTCATGTTCTTGTTCCCTGTTTTCATACCCGGGGCGCGAGGGAGAGCATTCCTCGGGATCAATGTATCGGATCATCCCTATTTGGGCCGGGTTAGGGACCCGTTTCATCGTTCGGGTAGAAACTCGCAAAGGAACAGTTTGAGGTTTTTCCCCAGTTTGTGTGAGCACCAGTTGCTTCGAATCGAAATGCAGACGTGCACCTACCGCCATCGCCCAAGGTAATCCCAACAACACAGAATAGGAACGTACATCTATCACGAGCGCGTTAACAAGGACGTGTACTCGTCCAACTTTTACGGCCACATTCAAGTTCTCGATAATGCCTACGATGTTCATTGCTTCCTCGTCGGCAGAGACATAATTGTCTTTGCTAGATTGAGGAAGAATAGATCCCAGTCGTCCCGTCTTTTTGACAGTATCCAATGATATGGCCACGACAGAAGACCCTGTGTCAATAAGGGCATTAAACGGTTTGCCCCAAACTTGACAGTCACATTCCGCACTTTTCCACAACACCGACCGAACTCGTACGAAGTGATTTTTTTCTGCTAAAGAGATCGCTGCTATGCGTGCGGCTTCGGGTTCCGTCTCTTTCGTGTCAGGCTCAGGGGGTACAACTTCCTCGCTTTCTTATTTCTTCTTCAACATCCGTTGTATGCGTTGATACGTGAAACGCTTTTGATTTTTCTGGCAGTGTTGTAGAAGCTTATCGTTCGCCACTTCAGATATGGTGAGCAGATGTCCCACTGGGATGGGCACGCGAATATCTAGTTGCTTGAGCGTTTTTAGTATATCAATGTCTCCTGTTCGGAACTGTGGTCCAGGATTGGATTCGCGATCGACCCACTCGAGATCATCCGGGACCGATCGGATTGCTCCGATCATGCCTGCAAGATGAAGGTATTCGAGTGGATCGACTATGTCGGCAGCGTCAGAGGAGGTAGCTCTTGATGTCGACGCTAGTGTCGTCGGAGGGGAAGGCTGCTCGGGGGCGTATGCCACGAGTTCTCTTCCTGGATCCGTATCCATCAGAGCGGCCACTCGTCCTTGATTAAGGGCGACGGGGGCCGCAGCAGGGAGAGGCTGATTACGTTTCGGCTGCGGACAGTCCCAGGCAAAGTGCTCCGGCTGTTTGCAGTTAAAGCATTCGATCTTCCCTGCTGGATGAGGGAACTGGGGCACAAACCCTGGAGCAGGTGGGGCGGGTAAGAGTGGAAACGATGCAGGGGCGGGCCGAGCAGGCGCCGGGTTAGGCTTGATGAGTCGGCTCATTATTTGTTCCATTTGTTCCATATGAGCGGCCTGCATTTGAATCAGGTTGCTCATCAATTCGGACTGCTTGGTAGTGGCCGTATGGATCATCTGGGCAAGGTGTAGATTGGTTACGGCCGACGAGGGGGGTTCGGATGAGATTCGACTTTTAACGGCTGCGATCGATTGATTCACCGGGGGAGCGGGAGGAGAAGCGGTTGGGATGTCGGAAACGATCCCTCCTGGAAGGTCATGGTCGGGGCGGGGATAAAACCGTTCGACCGCCTGCAACCATGATCGCCTTTTGGCCGTTACATCCCGTATGGTATCTGTAATGTCTTCATCTCCCTGGCTGATATATTTTTTTGTATCAACCAGATCCAGCTCCAATGCTTTAGTGATGATAGCCGATAACTGGTGCGTTTTCGGCGGAACCTTTTTCTGTAATTTCCCTTTCAGTGTCGAACTCCGTAGGTGGTCGATGAACAAATCTCGAGCGGATTTCTCATCCCGCCCGGATTTGTCCAACGTGGTTTGAAACCGATCGACAAAATCGGGCAACAATTCCCCTGGTCCTTGAGGTCCATTTTTGAGTACATACCAGACGGCATCTTCACTAACTGTATCGAATCGAGCCAAAAAGGCTTGCTTGAAGGGAGCCCAATCTACCCACGCATGTTTCCTAAACCAGTCATGGGATGTGTTGCGAAGTAGCAATGTCAGAACGCATGGGAGGTCGGCTGCGCTGTAGTTCTGAGTTTCGACATCTTTCAGCCAACCCTCGGGATGAGTATGGTTAGGGAAGAAGGGAAAGGGGGCAGGGATACTAACGATCACCTTAGTACCGTCCACCATTGGTATTGCAGGTGCAACCGCACTAGACTGAGATCTGGTTACTGGGCAATCCCGACGAGTTAGTTGAGGGTCTCTCCTACCTCTCCCCAGTTCGTCTTACTATCATCAGAACCGACACGTGTGGGCTTCGATACCAAACTCACGCCCTGTTCTGTCTTCCGTTCGGAGTGTTAGTGGTGCGGAAAAGAGGCCTAGAAACACAGCAAGATGGGGTGTGCCAAGGATTTTTGGAAATTGAGTGTGGGGACACAGACGAAACTGAAATCCCCCGTGTTGGTCCGATGAAGCAAGTCGATCGTTTTCGCGTGTCGCAGAATGCGCGCGCGGTCAAGGCGGGAAGAGAGGGAAAGATCCAAATTTAATCCAAAAAGTATTGTCGTACCTCCCACCGGGCTACAGCCCGTTGTTTAGAATAGAAAGGCTTGGGCACGCTTCGCGTGTCCCGTTTTCGTACCAAGTCTCGTCGTCGTTCGCTGGTTACCTCCGAGTCTGACGTGGAGGGTCTCAGTTGCGTGGCTCTTTCTTTATGCTCGTCTTCACTCCGCACACGGTAGTGGAAACCCCTGGACTCGTAGTGCTCAAAACGCTGACATTCGGTGCACAGAGTGCGCGGCCAGTGAGGTTCTACTGCCGTCCACGGAATGACGATCAACTCGTTAAATGACAACAATACCGAGTAAGGTGGGAAGTAAGTATCCATAATAACAAACCCAGCTTCTACAAACCCAGAACAGCGGTTGGCCGGAGGGAAGTAATACTGCCCGCCGATTTGTGCAACGGCTTCTCGTACGTCCCACTCACATACACGTGTCATTTCCTCACTGTAAGAAAAAGGTCGCGTTGAGATGGGAGATACGGGAGGCTGGCGCCCAATCGAAGGGTACTTGTCAGTCCACATGTCAATTAATCACAAAATATCCTGAGACATCATTAAGAACAAAAAGCGATTCGCGCGTCCCCCAATCAATCTTTTTGACACAAGAGAGAGATCAAACACAGATCAGCTTGATCACGCATATGGCTACGGGTCCGATCAGTTCAACACAACGTTGGTCTCTGGGCGCCTTGCTTCTCAGGGCCGCCTCGTGGCTCGACTGCTGATGTCATGCAGCATAAGGCAGATGGCATGTGCAGTGCAAACAAAGCTACAGATCTAAACACTCTTGCATTCTCGGACAAAATCCCGACGACAATTGTCTAATAAAAAAATAAGAATCACACGTCTCCATGCATGCATCCACTGTGGAAGGTGCGAAAATGAGATATGCACAGGAAATGATAGATCGCATTGCACAGTACACACGCATCCACCGTTCACAAGACAAGAAGACAGGGTCCTTGCATAGGAGGATTACCCATAAAACTAATGGAAGAGTTCCAGAAGAAGTTCTTTCATACAGGAACAGGATGCAAACTCTTCCCCATCCGGGAGAGGGACAATCATTCGGACGCATCATCATTCAAAAAGAGGAAGAGAAAGAAATAGAAAGAGGGGGAGAGAGAGTGAGAGTCGAGGGAAAGAAAATCACAATAGAAGATGACAAGGTCTGGAGAGAGAAAAGCTCGGCGTTGCCGCCGTACACTCACGCTAAAGATAACAATCCGCAACAAAGGCGCATTCGTCGTTAATTCCAATATGGCCCCGGACCAATCAACTCAACTCCGATCATCGATCCTCATACCCGCACCGACGATCCCGGCCGTCCCGTGCTAACTCCCACCACTGCGATCGTCAGCCCGCTGTCGTAACGCGACACGGTTCAC